AAAAAAAAAACTTGGCCAAACACCTAAAGTTAGGGAAAAAAGTACTTTTTATTAGGTGAATGTCCTGATTTTCATATTTGGTTTTGCTATCTCTTGAAGGAAAGAGCAACTTGTTTACCATAATTGGGTTTTCCTTCTTGTATAAGGAAATTATAAATCTCCCATATTTGGCTAGTCATTTTTTTTGTAGGAAAATATTTGAGCTTCTATAAATTGAGGATCATTCCTTCTTATTCACTGGCATCCACAATGTAGAGAGTCGTGTTTAGGGGGAGAACTTTACGGGACAAGTGTTAGTGTGTCACTGTTTGCCTCTTCGTGAGGTTGTTCCCTCGAGATTTTGTACTCTCTTTTATATAGTGGATTGCTCATCTCTGCCGTGGACGTAGGTCAATTGGCCGAACCACGTTAAATATTTTTGTCTCTTTTGGTATATTTCTCTTTTGTTGTCTTATCGTCGTTGAAGTGTTGCTTTACTAGCTTCCGCATGACACCTGATTTTTTCGATCCTAACAAGTGGTATNCTTGTATGTTCTTTTACTGTGTTCTCGTATGCTTTTCTACTATGTTATGGTATTTTCTTCTACCATGTTCTGGTTATGTTTCGCCTACTATATTTTTACTGTGTTCTTAATGTTTTACTATTTTCCTTCTACTGAACCTTGTTTTAAGTTTCTTCTAAAAGATCCTCTTAAGCATGCTCTTTCTACTGTTCTTAGCAGTCTTTTCTCATTATTCTTGAAATTAGTTTCTTTCACTCTGTTTGCTTTGAACCATTCTACTGTGTTTGCATGTTACTTTGCTATCATGTTTCTCGTGAATTCTGTTGCTGAAAGAAGCATGTTAGAAGTTTCAGTTCTTTTCTGAAACCCCTAAACATATTTTCGATTCAATTGCTTGCCCTCTCATCTTTGCTTCGTGATTTGCTTGAACTTAGGGTTTTTATTTTAGAACCCTTATAGTGGATTGCTCATCTCTGCCGTGGACGTAGGTCAATTGGCCGAACCACGTTAAATATTTTTGTCTCTTTTGGTATATTTCTCTTTTGTTGTCTTATCGTCGTTGAAGTGTTGCTTTACTAGCTTCCGCATGACACCTGATTTTTTCGATCCTAACAAGTGGTATCAGAGCGAGGTTCAAGACAGGTTTATCTTGGCGGGTTCAGTTCTAATCACAACCTATTTGACGGTAATCGTGATTTTTGCCTGAAAAATTTGACCGGAGTGTTACGCACACGTCGAGACAAACTTTGTGGTGGCGATTTGGAGATGCGACCTGTTGAAGGTTATACGAAGAAGGTGGATCAAGTTTATTTTATCAGAAAATTCAGGCCAAGGGGGAGAATTGTTAGGTGTTTGTCCTGATTTTCTTACTATATTTGGTTTTGCTATCTCTTGAAGGAAAGAGCAACTTGTTTACCATAATTAGATTTTTCTTCTTGTATAAGGAAATCATAAATCTCCCATATTTGGCTAGTCATTTTTCTTGTAGGAAAATGTTTGGACTTCTATAAATTGAGGATCATTCCTTCTCATTCACTAGAATCCACAATGTAGAGAGCCATGTTTAGGGGGAAGAACTTTACGGGACAAGTGTTAGTGTGTCACTTGTGTTTGCCTCTTCGTTAGGTTGTTCTCTCGATATTTTTACTCTCTTTTATATAGTGGATTGCTCATCTCCGCCGTGGAAGTAGGTCAATTGGCTGAACCATGTTAAATGTTTGTGTCTCTTTTGGTATATTTCTCTTTTGTTATCTTATTTATCGTCGTTGAAGATTTGCTTTACTAGCTTTCGCATGACACTTGATTTTTTCGGTCCTAACACTTTTGGCCTCTTGAGAAGCTTCGCCAAACATGCTATAAATGTAAGTTACACTCTGAAAGATCAAATAGTTGATGTTACATTTTAGATTGAAATTACTAATTCGTTCCATCCTGGTATTCTAAATTAGATCTTTTTATGGTAGTTAATGGTGTTATTGGTTAATTCAAGAGACTAGGTAATACTCAAATCTATTTAAACTTACAAAATTTTCTTTAAATCCTTTTTAATTTAATTGTTTTCTCTACATATAAGATGTTAAACAATAAAACCATTTAACAAGTTCTAGAATACGAAGTCCTTTAATGTTTTCCTTGGAGATATCACCAAAGCCTTTGGAATTCAAATGTCACAACCAAAGTTTCAAAAATATAGATTCTTTAATAGTTATCGGTTGAGCCTCTTTCAAAGAATCCCTATGATATTTACTATTACATTGACAAACGAATTCTTCCATGAATCTAAGATCTCTTAGAAGAAATATAAAAGGACCTTTACACACACACACACGAAATGCTAGAGACTAGCGAGTTCTACCTTATCCCTTTTTCTACGCTTTTACACATGTTGTCCTTTTCCTATTGTTAATCTAATGCTATAATTAACGGGAGAAGTTCAAAAATAGCCAGATTTACAACTGGTCATTCAAAAATAGCCCAGTTTCAAAAGTAATCGAAATTTACCCACTTTTCATATAAAGATAAATTTGAGCGAAAACACTATTCAAAACCCGGAAAATACGCCAGTATATTATACTGGAGTTCTAGCATAAGTATGCTTGAACTCCAGCATATTATACTGGAGTTCCAGGATAAGTATGCTGGAACTCCAGCATAATATGATGGAGTTCCAGCATAAGTACACTAGAACTCCAGCATAATATACTAGAGTTCCAGCAAGTATACCGGTCCAGCATAATATACTGGAGTCAGCAAAGTATACCGGTCCAGCATAATTTGCTAGAGTTCATACACAGGTGCACCGAACTCCAGTATATTATGCTGGACCGGTCTCTGTTGCAGCAAAATAGTGGCTATTTTTTATTGACTTCGTAAACGCTGGCTATTTTTGAATGACCGGTCCGAAAACTGGCTATACCGTGCTATTTTTACATAATTAATGAGTTTAAGTTCTACTAGTTTTTGGACACATGTATTGTGCATGTACTCTTTACTAATAAGCAATAACATTTAAAATTCACATAAAAAGATATGTTTGATTTATCAAATAAAACTTAACTAATAACATACAAAAATTTAAATGATGAATACTGATCTTGTTTGGCTAACTTGACAACGGAAGAAGTAATAGCAAAATTGCATGCCAAAACAATAAATTTAAAAGTACATATAAATTTTAAATTTATAAATTTTTAAGTAGTGATTTTCAAATTAATTGATAGAAAAGGTCAAAATGCAATATGAACTATTTTGTAGAGCATCATAACATGCCCAATATTTGTTGAACTAAAATGAGCATATTTAATAAAATATATGCATACTAAAGTATTCAAATAAAATTTACTATTATTTTTAAAACTCGAATCATAATATTTATCATGAGAAATCCATTTTGAGGACATACTCCCACAAGCTAAAGGGACACACTTGAAATCGTTTTGCGGCAATCTTCATTGGACATAATTAACAACTACGCTCTTCTTCCTGGGTACATGGTTTATTAAGCCTACAGAATTCTTTTGCTTGAGGCTGATTATGATCTTTTAGTTGGGAGATTTAATTTTGGCCTCCTGACATGGACACTGTTATTATAATATTTTCATTTTTACGTATGCTCTCTCATCATTCTTGCTTTGGCCTTTTGCTTCTGCTCTCTCTGTGCCCAACTTTCTTTTTAATTCCATGCAAATCTTTAGTTTTCGACTTTGGTACGATACACACGATGTTCTGAATAAGATTTTTTCTATGTTTTGATGTGAGTACGTAGAGTCTAGATATGTATCTAAAATGACTTATATTAACCCCAAAAACATAATGAGATAATTATAGCAGTGTCTCTTCACTTGCACTATAATTTAGATTCACTTAACATGTTGTTCTAATCCATGTTATTATAAGTTAAACATCCAATAATGATAGGTAGTAGAAGAGGTTAATTCCATTATTTTTATGATTCTTGATAGCGTCATATTTATTAAGAAGTAATTTTACAATTTTGTATATCAATATTTTAGAGGTAATGTTTAATTGAAGGGCAAAATAGATATTCAGCTTTATATGGTCATTTCAATCTTTTAATTTTGACTTAGGGTATTCATATTTATTATATAGTATGATGTATTATTTGCGTATAAATTTTTTACGCCATCAAGTCAAGTGAAGTTACAGCAATAGGTAAATCTTCATAGCAAGCCTGAAATGGTGACCTAAGAATTCGAGTAATAACCTATTATAATGAGTTAAATTGATCTAATGGTCTAATTTCTTTTACACTGTTAGTCCTATAACTTAAACTAAATGCATGTACTACTTTGAAACCTCTATCTTAGATTGGAGTTACGATTTTTGGTCATTAAGAGTCGACAAAATTAGATGAGTACTTAACTTCTTTTATTGAAAAATAATGGTTAGTATCATGAATATCAGCAACAATGTATGAAAATCATATGTGATACATATATCAAAAATTAAAAATTCAACAAAAACTAATACGAGAAGTGAAAAACATACATGAGCACACACACAGAGTGCGCCCATATTCCTACAACCGTTATATTGTAAACACATAAATATGCCCTAAATGTACAGAAGCAGAAGTATATGCACATCGTAATAACATAGCAACAATTTGAAGTTTATGAATTATGAATATGCTATTAACTTATAGCTCATTTTAATAATTGGGTTGGAAATTACATTTTTTTTATATATATATATATATATTTAATAAATTTTCTAATATAATACATAATTTCAACAAAAGCTACTGGTTCAGTCAAACATTCAAGTAACACTTACCTCCACTTCGCCCCTGCTTAATATGCATGTGGGCATATACTGATAAATGCACAAGTGTACATGAGCTCGTAATATGACGAAAATAAAAAGAGAGATGGACGTACATCAGGGGTGCTTCGAGGATAATGAATAGAACCAGAAAACAACATCTTCCTTTGTCCATCTATTATTAACGATCTTCCGTCATAACTCACATTTGCTCCGCCGGCAGCCACCGCTCCTGCCATCACCAACACTGCCGCTGCTAACCATTTCCGCCATAGCCACTGCATTCTCATCGCGCGCTTATTTTTCCACCATGTAAACACACACACGCACAAAGAAGAATTTATTGTGTAAAAAATTAAAATTACTATCTATTCTTGGAAGCAAAGACTGATATTGAACAAAGAAATGGAGAGACAGATTTTATTGACAAGGCAAGATAGGAGGAAGATGTTCTTATTAAGTAAATGATGCAAGATATCTTGTCTTCAAGTATGACATAATAAACGGTGAACTAGTCTGTTAGTAGTTTATATCTCTTAAAAAAGGAAATTATTTATAACTTTTGTGAAAAAATAAACTAAGTGATACTCTTTCCATTTCGATCATGCCATAATATATAGAAATGTATTGTTTTTTTAAAAATAACGTAAATTATAAATGAACTAGTAAGTACTCCATATGTTATGATTATAATAAGAAGTTAAATTTTTCTAAAGATATTAATTAAGCGGAGAAAAGTTGAAGGGAAGGAGAAGAAGGAGATGACTATGAAAGAAGAAAGAGAAATGGACGGCAAAAGAATATAGGATGTAATTTTACGTGAAAAAAAACAAGTTGGACGGGATTTTTAGTGTGATGAGTTAACAAGGAAAAGTTCTTCGTGACTCAACTCCAAACGTCATGGAAACAACTTTTATACCTTTTTTTTTAAGGAATTTTTACCTCATATAGCAAAGGTTAACACCTTATTTATTTTGAATAAATACCATTTAAAAAAATTATATTCTATAGATATCTTTTAAGGTTTATAGCAAAATATTTAATTTTGGTTACCTCTTAGCCATAAGCCACTAAATAGGCTATTCAGTTACACTATTTTTTTCTCTCTCTACTTTGATACATCCCATTCTCTTCCCCCCATTCTTTTCCCTGTTCCCTGAAAACACGATGCTCCATCTCAAAATTTCTCTCACCCACACTATTTTCTTTTTATTCCGATCAATTCTTGCACCCAATTGAATATCACTAAACTCATGGCTTAATTCCCTCTCCTTTCTGTTAATTTTCTGTTAGTAATTAATCCTCAAAAATACAACGGCACCCTTATTTCTGTACTAATGCAATTTTCATCTCTTTTCTATTATATTAAAGTCAAAAATAATCATCTGAAAAATTTACAGAAAAGAGAGGCGTTAAACAATACGTTCTAAGCACGCGACGAATACTTCCTGAAATGGGTCGAGCTTGAAGGGGTAGGTTTTTGCCATTTCACCGTTATAGGAAGGGTTTGAGAGGGTTCTGTGGATTGTTTCGTCGTTTGTTGAAGTGTACTGCTACGGCGGATTGGCCAGAAATTAGGGTTTGTTCTTGAACAAAGACGACGGAGTTTCGGGCTGAGCAACTTGATTTTCTGTTAATATATTTCAATGTATTTTTATGTATTTCACTGTATTCATTGTCTTTTTTTTTCCATTGTAACTTAATGTATCTCGTTGTATCCCATGTATTTCATTGTTGTATTGGGAAAAACTGCATTTAAATATTGAAGATGACATGTCATGACACGTGGACCGGTCAAATAGTCAAAGCATGACAAACAGTTAGAAGACACGAGCAACAATAGATGCGGGAGAGAAGATACGAGCTACTATCCAGATGAAACGAGACTCGTACCTGTTCGAGCCATTTAAAGCTCGAAGATCAGAAGGAATTGAAGATATGAATCTGATAGCGTAAAAGAGTCCAAATTCAACATTAAATGCCAAATACGTTAGAGAATTTGTATTTAATAAGAATGATTGAATAACGTTTCTTTTAATGTCATTTACTGCTCGTAATTGCCTCATTAAGACAAAGATATTACACTTTCTCTTAGAATTGACTATAAAGGAGAAAGTCACAACATTTGTAAGACACAAAATATCATTCCGATTATACTGAAATATACTCTTATTCATTGCTTTATTGTTGTTCACAAAATCTCTTATTTCTTGATTATCAGTAACCCGATTTCTCTATTAAATTCTAGCTTTAACCAAATATTCAGTTTTCTGGTTAAACAAATTGGTTCCGTTACCGGGAATCTGATAATCTATTCTCTTTAAGTTACATTTTATCTGTTATTATCATCATGTCGAACAACAACAACAACAACAACAATAACAGTGAGAATACCTTGGGAAACCATGAACATCAAGTCCATCAAAATCAAGGTGATTTACAAAACATTAACGTGGTTCCTCCCCCTCAAAATTCACCACGTCAATCTCGTGAAAGCACTCCTACTCCTGAATCCCGGGCTGTTGAACAAGAGCAATCTGAATATTTTGAAGGAGCGGATGACGCTTTACAGAAAGTAATTGATGCACGGGTTAACAAAGCTCTTCAAACTCTTGTTAGTCGATTACCTGTTGCACCGCCCACACCTACGCCTAATAACAACACACTGGAGAATCCTCGTTCTGGCCTTATCAATTCTGGAAATGAAGGAACCCCCAGTGAGCCACAGGAAGGAGAACCAGGTAATTCAAGTAATTCTCATTTGCAAAATTTAGTACTAACTTTGCAAAAACAGCTTAAGGAACAAAATGAGCGCATCGAGCAAATCCCTGGTGTTCCTCCTGTGATCAAAGGAGTGGATGTGGATAAGTATTCGCAACAACCTTGGAAACCAAGTGCTGCTCCCCTTCCAATCCCTAAAAAGTTCAAAATGCCTGAAATCTCGAAATATGACGGCACAACAGACCCACGTGATCACGTAACTGCATTTACTACAGGTGTAAAAGGCAACGATTTGACCAAGCAAGAAATCGAATCCGTGTTGGTCAAAAAATTTGGAGAAACACTCACCAAGGGTGCATTAACCTGGTATTCTCTTTTACCTGAAAATTCTATAAACTCTTTTTGCTGAGCTTGCAGATTCTTTTATTAAAGCGCACTCGGGAGCTCAAAAGGTTGAAAAAAGAATGGAAGACATTTTCAAAATTAAACAAGGGGACTCAGAGTT